CATCATTTGCCCAATTTAATATCTTCTTTAAAGGAACGCTCATTAAGTGCGACCATACAAGGATAGTAAGAAATATAATATTAAAATAAACGATATATTTTAAGTAGCAAATATAAAAATCAACATGGATTTGTTATTTTGATTAATACATATAAAATTCATTATTTATTAATAAAATTGATCATTAAAATTTTTATCTAATGTATTAATCATTATTTTAAAATTCTTTAATTTTTAAGATGGTAGTTGTTATATATTCGAATATACACTTTTACTTTATTATCTAGTTTTAATTATGAACATAGAAATGATTCATGACAAGAATCATAAAAATATTTAAACTAAGGATATAGTTTACATAGTTTAGACGTTAACAATATGGAGATTAACGACGCAAATTTTTTATCGTTTAATGTCAGAATAAGTATCAAAAAAATACGGATGGAGATGCAAGTGGATACTGGTACTAGATTTTCGATACTGCCAGAACTAAAAAAACTAACCTAAAACAAGAAAAGCCAAAGATGGAAACGCGATTAAAATTTTCTGTACAGCATAAATGATGGTATGTTATGAAGACGAAACTCCAGCACTCCATCTTGGTACAGTTATAATAATCTATTGTTGGAAAAAATCTAACACATTCAAAAAACCATAAAAAATTTTCATAGTATATGTAGAAAAATCTTTGAACGATAACATTTTAAACTCTAGGCTAAGCCAGTATAAAAACTTAAATGTGAATCAGCCCTGAAAATTTATGCGAAACTAACGCCTCACTTCTTAATATGATTCCACCTAGTAACTAAATTAATTATTAAAATGGTAAATATATCATCCAAAGTTTCCAAATTTCTTTAATATCAGTTCCTAATGAAATGGTAGAAATTATTGGTAGAAACAGAGAAACTATTTGGACCATTACTACAGAGTCATGCAAGGAACCATATCTTCGAAAGTGAATACGAGGAAAGTTTATGTTGAAGTCTAAAGATATATCACTAAATAATGACTGGCAGGCAATCATGATGGTTGGATCATTGGTAGCCAGTGCGGTGGCTGAAAAAATACTTTAGAAATAAAATAATGTGAAGAGGCTAATTAGCACAAAATAGCATAATTGATAAAATTATTGTTAAAAATGAAAATAATTTAAACAATTTATGGCAGAGTCTGATACCCTAATCAAGTGGCCATCGAGATATAAACAATTATAATTTGGTAAGAACCATAACTATTAAGGGATCTTTAGATAGTTTAAGCTTAAGCAATGATCCCAGTGAAACCATAAAAGCCATGAAAATAATTTAGTTGCGAAAATGAGATCTATCCAACTATGGAAGCCCAAGAGCAAATTATAATATTGCTAACTAAAAAATATTTAATGATTAAGAATTTGATATTAGAATAGCTATTTCATTGACTAGTAATTGAAAATTATTATTATAAAGATTTAAATGCATTCATTATATGAACAGGTTATAAAGTAATGTAAATTAACACATGTTTTTATAATCCTGTTTATAAGTTATAACTAACATATTAAAAAGATGTGGTAAAATGTTTAGTCTAAAAAACAAAGATATGCTATTCAATATCTATTCAACATTTTATTTACATTTACTAACATTGATTAAAATTTTTTTTTTAAATTAATTAATTTATGTTTCTTTTTTCTAATTATATGACCCGTTATCAAAATTTACAAGCTTTTTGTCCATTTTAAACCTCTTAAATTTTTATATAAAAATAAGAAAATATTTTATCTTCAAAACCTTTATGCCAAAATATATTTATGATAATTCATCTATTTTTTAAGAATATCTTACCTTGAACGCAATTAGAATTGAAGAGTATTATCAAATATAAAAAACAAATGAAATTTCCAAATTTTCTTATCATCGTGATTTTAATTAAAATTGAGTAATATCAAATTAAATTTATATTAAAATAAAAAAAAGGAAATAGAATTTTATTTTATCTTTTTTAACGAAATTTCACTTAAATTTTTTTTTGTAACAAATAATATTTTATCACGTAGGCAATTATTTTATAATAATATACAAGGGGAGGTGGAGAGGGGTGGGCGAGTTAAAATTTAAATGTTGTGTATATTTTTACAAATATAGAAAAAACAAGGAGAATTTTGTATAATTACAAAATATAAAAAATTTTTTGTTTTAGTCAACAATTTTTTAAAAATTAGGAGGCAACAAGATGATTACAAATGTAGTAGATAAATGTTTAGCTTGAATTAAATTTATAAATTTTTATCCCTTCCCCTACTCCCTACAGCAGAGAAAATTGAATTCTTATTGGCGGGGGTGTAGAAGTCCCTGATTTTGGATTGCCTCTACAAAGGATTGGGTTGAAAAGTACAGTTGGGCTGATTGCTCCAACCGATTATTATTTAATAATGCTTAAAACGAAGGCACTCAATGAAAGCGTTCGTGAACGAAGTTCATTTTTAAAGAAAATGATGAAAACGACATTCCTTATAATTTTGACGAATTTGGAAATGTGAACTTTTTACGCTCGTTCAATTTTAGGAAGTTTTTTTTATTTTTATTCATTTGAAAATTAAAAATATTAATTTGATATTAAATTTTTTAAGGATAAAGGGTTATATTTTTTAATCAACTGTTTCCTTTATCACATTTGATTTTTTTTTAATCAGCTCCTATTTCTGCTCTATAGTGTACCATGATCTAAATATAAATAATTTGCTATATTGTCATATATTCAATAAATTAATTTTATCCTTGCCATAATATGTAAAATATGTTCAAAAAGTATATAATAACAGTTTCAAAATCTTCAAGTTACCTGTTTGTAATAATTTATTATTTTTTATAATGAGCTATAAGTATCCTGTTAATATTTTATTTTATAGTGTTGTATTTTCTAGGCTTAAATGATAATTATAATAGATATATAAAATAATGCGTAGTGCCTTGATAAGTCTCTTTCATAGATAAAGATTTTTTTAGTTAGTTTTTACGCCTCTTTATATTTCTCATGGTGGGTGAAGGGGAGGGGGGGGTGAAGATGTAAGGTGTATCCTTTTAAAATGATTCTCACCCTCTCCCTCGTTACATCTTTGTGTTGATTACAACAAGGCTTTGTGAGAAATAAACAAAATGGAATTCAAAATTATATAATATAATATTAATTTTCAATATATTTAATAATTTTATACTATATTTTTCAAATATTAAATAATTTAATATTCATTTTCCAAAAATATAGTATACAACACTACCATTCCTCTTTCTGATATAATAAAAATAAATAACGTATTGAATCTATCATTTGTTTAAAATTAAGTCTCCACATTTTCAGCATAAGTAAAACTATTGATTATTGAAATCCAAATATTTACTAATTATATATTTTACTCATAAATTTTAAATTATACATGTTGGTTGATCTGTTATATTTGGTGTGGTACATTAATAAATATACTTATATTATATTTAAGAGATAACGATATTATACTTAAATAAAATAATAATTCAAAAGATTTATAAATTAATTTATCAATATATTTGATTCATTAAACGTTGAGTTAATATTTTAGATAGAAAACAAATAGGCTTTATTTAAAATTAATATAAAAAATATATATTTTAGTTCAGAATATGTTCAATAATTGTCGACAATTCCTGTGTGTGTATTATCCACTCTTGTAGGCCAGGTATTTTACAAAATTCCCATAATTTAAGTTACCACAGGGTTTGTATTTTTCTCTAATCATAGAATCTATTTCGAAAACCAATTTTTCGTTGTTTAAAATGCCCATCTTGTTAGTTTCGGTGATGTTCTATATTTATTTTTGGGCTTAGTAGATAATAATGGTTTATTATCTGTCACTATTTTAAATTGCTGTCTCAAATTTATACAAACCGAAAATGATTGATAATGCTTCTCTCTCTAATTTTGTTCAATTTTTAAAGTACCCTTGATTGAGTAAATATTATATAAGTCTTTTATCAATATTGATAAATCAATGATAGAACGATGCTAGACTATAATTGGAAATATTGGCCGCATGAATTAATTTTCTTGATTGTAGATGGCGTTAATAGATATGCATCAATGATATTTTTTTTAATCAGGATATGCGTTATCATGAACTTCTAACGATTTATAGATTTTTTTGTAAAGATTATATATTGGCCGTGGTGCCTTTGTTGTGAAATTCGGAATTAAAAGATGTTAATAAGCAAGAAGTCCAATAAACGCTTGTAAGTTATGTTTTTTGGTTTAGGCGTATTCACCACAACTACTACTTGTTTGTTGATATTGCTTATAGAAATGAGGATCATTATTAATGTAATATTAAATAGATGGAAATTATTTTTAAAAATGTAAATTTGTAATGTTTCTTTTATAATATAAAAAAAAGTAAAATTACTAACATACTGAATCTATGATTTATTTAAATTTAAAACTCCCCATATTCATCATACACGTAAAACTATTGATTATTGAAATCCAATTGCTAATTATAGATTTCACTCAAATTCTAAATTATAGTTCTTGGTTGTTCTGTTATATTTGGTGTGGTAGTTAAAACATTAAATAACCGATATTTTATTAAGAGATAAAAATATTATACTGAAATAAAATAATAATTCTAAAAATTAAATATCAAGATTAATAAGTTGTTACCCAAATATCTCAGCCATATTTGAACTAGAATTTTAAAATCGAACATCTAATTACACCAGAAGTTTAATAATATATATTATATTTTGTTCTTTTAGGATATATCGAAATTCTTTATTTATTTTTTCTCTTTAGCTTTCATCTTTTCTGGTGGTAAGCTCCTTCAATATTACTCCACTTTATGTTATTCATACTATCTTTTTTATCTAATTTATACTTCTTTATATTGACTCTAACTTTATGGCCCCATTAAAGTTTTGGCCTTCCTCTTTTACGGCCCATCACCTCCAAACTCTCAACCTTATTTCCTATGTAGTTCATAGGCCTTTTCATTGTGTGCCCATGCCACCTAATCTGTTTACCATAATTTTAGTCTTAATTGGCACTACCTTTAAACTACTTAGTATTCTTGTACTGCGCACTTTATCCTTTCTTGTTAACCCAGCAATCATCCTCAGCATTCTCATCTCAATAGTTTGTAGCTCGTCTGATTCCTTGGTTGGCCATGTTTCCGAACTATATAGAATAGTTTGTTGTACTATGGAACTGTAAATTTTTACCTTGAATTTGTGTGGGATTTTTTTGTCAAATAGCACTCCAGATAAAGATCTGCACTTTAACCACTCTTGATTAATTTCACTCTTTATCCTTTTCTCTATTGTGCCGTTGTTGTAATTGCCGATATCTGCCATTCATTTATATCAATAATTTCTCTTTAATCTCCTCCTATCACCATATATCCCGTCTTTTCTCTTTTTACTTTTAGTCCTGCTTTTCTAGGATATTTATCCAACTCACTAATCTTTCTTTCAATTCATCATTGGATTCGGCAAGTATCAAAATATCATATTCCACGGGACTGTTTGAGGCATAGACTCTACTAATACATCTATTACTGTAATGAAGAGAAGTGGACTGAGAGCTGACCCTTGATAAAATCCTTCAGCTATTGTGAAGCCTGCTAAAGTACCTGTTGTGCTACGGACCATTGTTGTGTGGTCATATACCTACCCTATATTATTCTTATATATTTTTCAGGAATCTTATTGTGGCGTAGCGCCCAACAGATAAGTTTTCTGGGATTCTATCGAAGGCCTTTTCTAGATTGAGAAAGACCATGTATAGCTTTTTGTTCTTCCATGTATTTTTCACTCATTTGTCTAATTGCGGGGATAGCATGAGTTGTCGATCTTCCAGGCATAGAGCCAAACTGAGTCTCTCCTATTTCGAATATGTCTCTTAACTTTTTTTCTATAATTTTTCGTAGATGATGAAATATATTTCAAGCAAAATATGATTTTTAAATTAAATTAATAAAAAATCATATTGTATGAATAATATATTATACAGTATAACCTGCCTAATTAAAGCTTTTCATAAATCGAAAGTCGTAACTTTGACTAAATCTAATGCCAATTCAATTACTAATCTTGATAAATGAAAGTTGAGCAAAAATCTTAATTCTACGGCCTAAATTAGATAAGTTTTACCGTTATATAAATAGTAATGATGGATGAATTAAATTGGCAGCTGCTCTCATTGAGCCATCCATACCCTAGATAGTTCTTCTGCTGGATTTTCATCGGAAGGGACATAAATATTTTGAGAGATAGCGGTGAAGTTCTGAAGGCCGATCTTTTGGAGGACTTGAGTTAGGACGATTTCTATAGATGGTGATTTGACCTCCTTTTTTGTATAAGTATTACGTACTGGGGAGTCGGAAAAATCATAGGGTGCTCATTGTCTATGTAAGGCCATAATGGCTTGCATACTAACGACTAGAACCTCTCAAGCGTTGATGTGGCTGATGGCATGTGTCAGAATATTAAAAAGTAAGCATGCCTCTTGGAATGCCGCAGAGAGGTTGTCGTATCTCCCTAATGATATACCAATATGCGATTTAGACGCATCGGTGTAGACGTGGTTGTTTGCATAGTATCTGATTCTAAGGGGTGCTTTCATTGCTTCCATTATATTGCTAGCTTTTTGGAAGGCTAAATAAGGTCAACAACGGGCGCAAGGCTTCCCTCATTCATAGTGGTGTAGTAGGGAGAGAAGAGCCTGGACATGCCCATAAAGGTATAGGCGTAGTGGTTGACTACTCCTAAGACTTTGGCTGCAAGTATGCATCCCAATTCTAGGTGTTGATAAGAGTGACGTCTGAATACTTCGAGACATTTCTCGAGCCGTCGTCTAGTATTTGTGTCGGCGCTAATCGTTTTAGAATCGAAGTCGATTGGGATGCCGAGGTAGGTAATTTGCGACGTTGGGTCTAAGATAGATTTTGAGAGATTTCTAGACCCCATCCTTCCAGAGTGCATCTAAGTGATGTGGTAGACCATTTGACGTCATTGTCGTTGTCCCCGTAAATGAGAATATCGTCAAGGTAGACATTGTAGCTGGCTCTCCTGACGGTTTTGGCACATGCCTCGAGGATAATAAATTGTAGGTAATAGGGGCTAAACGATTCCCTCATGGGCAGGACCTTATACGCAGAATTTGCTTTGCCGAATTACCCGAAGTACTTCCTAACCTGAATTGGTAAGGGGATCGAAAAAAAGGGAGACTTGATATCGATTTTGCACGCATATTTTGCTTTGTACAATTTGGCTGACATGAGCGAGATATCATTATTATTATTGTTGTAGGTATTCTTGCTTCCGGAACCTAGTCACTATCATTAGGGGAGAACAGCTGATGCCTCAGTTTTATTGCATTATTTTTTAATTTCTTTCATATAAGTCAAAAATTTCAAAAAAAATTGATAACTACCAAATTCCTTAATTTAAAGATATTAATGATGATGTCGTTTAGCGAATTGCTTTTTTTTAAAATAAGCGTACTTAGGCATATAAATTTAGCAATTTCTTTTATCCCCTTTTGATGATATTGTTCATAAATTAAATCTAAATGTTAATATTTTTACTACCTTGAAGCAATATTTTAATATTATAATATGTTCAATTGATTTTCAAAGTTTTATATTTTTAAATGTTTTGGGGCTGATATTTTGATATATACAAAAAACATACAATTAACATTTTGGAGATAATAGTTTTTGACTGTTGATATTGTGGCATTTTCGATTCGCTAATAATATATATTTTTCAAATTCGTTTTTAAAAATAAAATTACTACCAAACTTGTTAATTCTTGAACCCAATTCTACAACCCAAACCTTCCACAATCTCTACAGATATCTTAACTTTTTTAGCTATTATTAATAATAAGTTGTGATTGTTTAGTATAAGAGTCTCTATTTAATTATAAGCTAATTGATGGTGCCAGCTATTAATGAATAGAGGAAGTTTTCAACCATTGATTTTATTCATTATCCTTATAAGATATATAATTTGATACAAGATTATTTTCTAAAAATATTTAATATTGTACATGCCTTAATATCTGGAAATAAGGAAAAAATTTTAAAAATTATCCTTTTACAGTTTCCATCGAAATAATTTGAATTGGTTTTTAAATGTTTAAAGCGAGTGGCTATTATTAATTTCTACCAATATAGCCTGAACCAGACAAAAGTATTCCTTACAAAAAGGCATGGGACAATAAATAACCAAAAGATACTAACAAAAATACTATTCTAGATAAATAAATGCTTGATGAGGAAATTTTAGTATTGTGCCTATTTTTAAGAATTTAATAATTTTTTAAAATTTGGATATTTTTAGCTCGGTGTGATCTTGCCAAAGGGCATTTTTGTCCAATATCTTGTTAGAGTTTATTTATCCGGGACATTTTTGTCCATAATTCTACTATCAAATATGATTCTCAAATTTATCCCGGCTTAATAATACCATATTATTTTACTTAAAAAAATATATAAATACAAGAGACGGAAAATTATACGATTTAAATTAAATTAAATCTATTATTTAAAGTCTCAGCCACCTATTACGCAAGGATAGTCTTAATTCTTTATCGATTGTTTCTATTCAAAGCTGTTCTCAGCAATTTCAATATTTAAAAAAAATTAATAGGATAAATGAAGATATATTAAATATATTTTTGGATAGCCAATGGGCCAATATTCAATCAAAATGAAATTTAAAGCATTTGCCCAAATTTGACAAATCATATATTAATTGCTTTAATTTAAGGCCTTTACTAATCGTATCAATATTTAAATATAAAAATTTATTAAAATATTATAAAACTCCATCTTGCGGAAAGAAATATTTTTATAAATGGATAAATTATATTACGATTGTTTAATTCAAATATTTATATAAAAATTTTACAAGTTTGTTTGAAAGTGTTTAAAAAAGTATTATTTTTTTTTTTACTGCATACAAATTTTATGTAAAAATTTATCACGAGACTATATTATAATATGGATAAGTTTTTTTATAAATAAAAGGTTTATATATATTATAAAAATTCTTTGGTTTATAATAGAATTTTCGTCGCCAATTTAGTTATTTGATGTATTATAAAGTTTTACACTTTATTACATTAATTTCTTTTAAATAAGTCAAACAATTAAGGATGGAAAGGAATGGTATAAAAAAATGGAATATCTATTTGATGATAATAAAAAAAAATCGTGATATTTCCATCTACCCTTTACAAGAATAAAAAAGAAAATCCTAAAATTTAACATCCAAACTGATATTCGTTTGGAAATTAAACAACTTATCAAATATAGTATATGGTTGAGATGTATATCAGAATTTAACTTAAATTAAAAATACAGTCATCATAATATGTTAATATTTTAAAATATCTGCTTACGACCGATTGGTATGGTTTAGTTTGGGAGGAAGATTGAGTGGCTTAAATATCTTATTATACCTGAACTAATGACATAGTAACTCTCCTGTAAACTATCCCTTGACCAGAGACTTAATGAATTGGGCAAATATGTTTTTTTTAAATAGATGGCACCTAAATTTAGAGCTATCGGGACTTGAACCATGCACCTCAATTATGGCGGTTAATAATGAAAAAAATTTCAAAATCTTGAAAAGGCAATTTTATGGCTGTTCTATAATTGAATTTAAGATTTATGCTAAGAAATCATAATCTCTCCTTAAAATCCTTATTTTTTTATATCCAAAATGTTTATTAAATTAACCAAAATTAAGTTTCAATTTTTATATATAATTAGCTTCAATATATCATTATTAATAAATATAAAAGCATTCCAATTTATTTTGCCCTAAAAAACGAATGGTTTAGGAAGCCCCATGAAGTGGTTTGCCTCACCCAGCTATTGAGCTTGTTGGACAAAATTTCCACTTTTGCAAAAAAAAATATTTTTTTTAAAATGATTATATTCATAAATTATTTTATAAGGCACCTGTATAGAGTATAGTTTCAGGTATCCAATTAGATATTATTTTATATTTTCTAAATAAAACCAGGAGTTATGGTTAATTTTGTAAAAATCGGTTTGACTAACCTCAATCTCCCCTACTTTATAATATACTTTGAAGTTTTTACAATATATTAAAATTAATGTATATTCAGCCTTAATAATTAATATCTACACAAATGAGAAAATCTTTTCTTCTTTATGGTAAATAATATCTCAGAAATAGGATCATAAAATAATTTACCTAGCCTACATCTAACTTTAATCTCCAATTGTGAATAAATCATTAAATAATTATTCCAATCGCATTCTTAATAATATATATTTTGATTATTTTAAATTATCATCTAATGTTTAATC